TCCCCCCCCTGGGAGCTCCAGCCGTGCCCAGACCCCCCCCTACATGGTCAGGCCACAGCTTTTCGGGAGGGTTGTGGAGACCCGACGGTTTCATCATGCTGCTGATAACTGGGTGCTCCCCACCGGCCTGGGGAAGCTGCCCCGGTGGAGGGGAGTCTGCCTAGCGGGGTCCCCCTTCCGCTCAGGGCTGCTTCTGAAGGTTCATCTAGAAGAGAATTTTAAAGTATTTGCTAAATGGGGAGCCTTTCAGTTCTGCGGGGTGGTTTCTTTTCTGTAGGAAGGAGGTTTTGGTGGCCCGGGAGGGCAAGGAGTATTACCACTGCTCCCTTTTCCCCCAGAAAAAGAGGATAGTGATGCAAGCGCTGGAGTGAGTCACGCAGCTGTGTCCTGTTCTACAGCGACCGCCCGTCGCACTCGAAGGGCGGTGGCTGCTGGGCCCCGCACCGCACACGGAGCTGTGACCCGCCGGCTCGCGCCCTGCCCGGCAGCAGTGGCACAAGGAGGAACTGTGACAGAAAAAGGGTTTTAAATAAAGCCACAGCTTCCTCATGTGAGCTACAGCCCTCCGCCCGGAGCGTGCGGTGGTAGGCCAGCCGCGTGTGCTTGGAGAAGTGCAGGTACGCGCTTATCTGCTGCTGTCTGGCAGCACCCATGGCACGAGCACGTCCCTCCCAGGCAGCGACTCAGACGAGGCAGGCAAGAGGCTGTCAGGAATTTAATTGTACTTGGCACTCGAAACTGTACAACACATTTACAGAGAACCACACGTTTGTGTCTATGTACACCCTCTTCCCATTTCCAACATTACTGGCCAAACACGTGACAGGCAATAACCCTTTACATGCGAGTTACGGCTCCTCGAGCACAGATTTCAGGTAACGCTCAAGGACGGGTATCGTGGGATCGCTGCCCTCGCCCCATCATCACCAGTCGAATGACAGGAACAACCTGCTGGCTTTGCTCAAAGCTGTCACCGCTTTGTTTCCTACAACGCTTTGCAGCGCAATGACCAAGCTGGCACCTCTCACACGAATCTTTGGACCGCTAGAATATGGCAGTGTCGCCGTTACAAGTATATACAACCACTATCTCCTCTGTCCTTACACCTCATCAGCTTCAAACGCTTTCTTTTCTCTACCTTTCTACCACATGCAATAACCCCTTGGTTGCCTCCAGTCCTGCCTCCCTGTGGAAAGCATTTCATTTCCAAAAGGCAACAGTAACAAGAAAATCTACCTTCACTCCCTGCTATTCCCCTCTAGCTGCTGCTCCTCTTCCCTCCCCAAACCCTTTGCAACGTGCCTAAAACCTTCCTAAACCCCGTTAGCAATGCAGTTCTCTTTCAGTAGTCCGGAGCGCACACAAGCCATTTACATCGCTCATCGTAATGGGGTACGTTGAGCGTCTCCTCCCAGGCACCGGCTCGTAACGCTGTGGCTTGCCTGCGCTCCGCAGAACTGTGGAGTGACATGAGAAACAGTATGTACACGCACACCTCAGAGCAAGAAGGATCAAGTACTTGAAAGGAAATGCCAAGTCTGAACAACAACAACATCAACAAAATACAAAAGTAAAAAAAAAAAAAAAAAAAAGAAAAACAAAGAAAACCAAAAAACCCCCAAACAAAACTTGAAACAAAACAACTAATAAAAAAATTAAATATCTGGCAGATTACAAGAGTGAAAATGAGGAATGTACAAAGGACACACTAAGATGAAAGATTCCAGTAGGTAAATTGAGAACCTGTTGAACCTGGGGTCTGTTTTTTTCTCCTTTTTTAACATGGAAAGTTGCATGGATCATGATAACCATACACTGCAAAACATGCACTGTACAAGACAAGAAGAAAACGTGAATTCGGGTCTCGAGTCCACTTTAAAGGGACTCTCGCAGTGTTGATCCAAACCCCCTGCAACGGGAGGTGCTGCCAGGCTCGCGGTGTCAGCCCAAACTCCCGCTTTAGCTTTGCTGTTTTCCCGCCTCAAACACCGCGCGTGGAAATCTCTCAGAAACCAAAGTGTGCTCTTTAAATCTGCCATGAGCAGTCAAAAGCACGAGGGCTTCCAAATCACTCACAGCATTAAAACCAGGTTCAAAGTGGCCATGTTCGTAAAAACAGACTCCAGTTCAACAGTGTTAACTGCATACCAGTAGCTGCCATTACAACATAAAAACCAAAAAAATATTCTGTTCAGTAGAGTGAATCCAATCATGCTCACATTACAAGAAAAATGTACACATTATTTATAAATAAACAGTCTTCCATCAGGACATCGCTGCGCTCCTCTTTACACTAGCGTTTCTTTCTGCTTGCCACTTAGCTGCTTCTCCCTCGTTTTTCTGTGCCCAGACGGTGTTCTGTGTGTTTTCACGCCCTTGGCTTCCTCCGAGTCCAGGATGGAGCCACACTCGGACGTGCTTTCGTCTAGCTCCATCTCGGTTATGCCAGACATGGCAGACTGCCTCTTCTGGGCTTTGATGTTGGATGCGGAGGGGTTGTTCTCCTCCGACTCTTCGCTCAGCTCTGGCAGCTCCTTCAGCTCTGCTGCGGCAGCAGTCCGCTGGAAGGGAGCAATGGCGGTTCGGATGCAATTAACCCATTGCTGCTTGTGGAAGACGTCATTGGCCTGCAGCGTGTGAGACTGGCCTGGGGAGGGATCTTGGAAACGAACTCGGAAGATATTTTTAGCTGAAGATAAACATAGGAAAAAGCAGATCAGTTCCTAGCTCAATATTTAGAGATTCCATTGCTAGACAAGCGACCTGGACTGCCCTGCTCTGCTTCAGGGAAAACGTTCAAAACCCCACCAAAAAAAAAAAAACCAAACCAAACCCTACAAGCCAGCAGAGACATGTTGAAATAGATGTTTTCTAATCTGAGCACCAGCTGCAAAGTGCCACATATAAGTTTATGGCCACCAAATGTAAAACTCCAAAGCCCGGCAGTGACAGTCTAAAGGAGGACGTTAATGCATGTCACATGCCTGCTATCCTAAAGGAACCTCAGTCTACGGGGATCTATGCCCAGGTGTAATCTCTCCTCACCAACAGATTCCCACGCAGATGGAACTGGTTTGGTCCGTACCTTTATCGGAATTGCCAAAAGCTCCTCGGAAGGATCCTCCCATTTTCACATCGCCATCCTGCAGGTCTTCGAGGAGCAGCTCCTGGACAGGGATCGGCTGCCTGTACACCTGGTAGGCCTGACGCTCATTGCGAGTGACCGGCCGGGTCAAAACCAGGATGTCTTGGAAGAGGAAGACGTAGAGTTTCTAAAAGGGAAAACGCATTCGAGTATAAGCGAAGCATTGTACTCCGTATTCAAACCGGTCACACACCCTCTGGGATTCAAGGCCACGTTATCTGAAGTTTCACCCACGTTAACTTTCTGAGAGTTTCCTGTTACAGCAATGTAGGGCCCTGGCAGTGGTGGCACAGACCAGACTTACACCAACAGGTTTATTATTTTAACGACCCTTAAAAAGTGAATTATGATTTACAGATGCTAAGAATAGAATGACTAGAAGCAATATTTTTTCTGACAATACAAAACGCTTCATGTGTACAGAAGTGTAATAGCTTCAACATTACAAAAAAAACCCCAACCAACAAAAAAAATAAAGAAAACAGAAAAAGATTTGATGTTTAAAACGAGGCCACTCCTGCAAGCCAGAACAAAAGGCAGCAAACCCTCGAGTACAGCGGGGTCTTTCAGCGCTGCTGCAGTGGGAGATAAACTTCTGGCAATTCATCTCAAAGCCAAACAGGCGTTTGCAGGAACACTTTTGTTTGGAAGAGCTGTGCGCCAGCGCTCATAATGGGGAATGTCAGAGCACCTGAAAGTAAACAGGCCAGCAGGAAATCCCTTTTGATGGAGTGCTTGGGCACAGAGCACGCTTTCTATGGTAATTTTGTGCTAATTATTTTCCAGCTTCTGAAGGCCAATTGTTGGAAACTTTCCCTTACACCCTGAAATGCAGACTGCCATCAGGTGCTTTCTCTTCTGCTTTTTAAATTTAGCTAATTGTCTAAACTAACCCTAAGGATGGAAGGGCTCCTGGTCCTGCTATAACAGACAAAGAGTTTTAACTACCTCTGAGGGAAGGTTTTCGAACTTGACAATTAATTACCATGAACATGAGGGACTTACATGTCCATTCTTATTCTTCAGTTCCCCATGGCACAGTAAAGCTTTGCTGCCTTCAATCCTCGGGTCCTTCTGCTTCTCATCCAGGTACTCCAGCTTGTCAATGTAATACTGGCACTCTGACTCCCCCTTCTTCAGGTTGATATCAGAGAGGACTCCTTGGATTATAGATATCTATAAACCAAAACATTTACAAATGATTAAGTAGTGACCTCTGCTTGTATCTCTTCCCTTTACGTGCTATTTAAGAACTCCAGATGACAGAATCCATGTGGACTGATCACTCATTTGCTTTCATGAGGGGTTACAGTCACAGATTTGTGTCCACTGAGAAAACCACCCCATGAAATGGCTGAGGGTTTAAGAAAGCTTTCTGAAGCTCCAGAATGATGTGCTTATGTCAGAACAACGACCACGAAATCACTATTACTTACGGCTTCTTCCAGAATCTGGATATCAGGGTGGTCTTTGGGAGTGTGCCTCAGGATCTCTTTTAGGAGCAGCGGGTATTTGACCAGCCGACTTCGAGGAATGTCCAAGAAGCTCCAAAGGTCTAGCTTGCGGCTGAAAGGAGACTCAAGGCAGCGCTGAAGGAAGTCCTGCACTCTCCGGTCCTGCTTCTTCTGATCCAGAAGTGCTTTGGCTGCCAGCTGATTGCTACAGTAACCTTTGTAGGCATGGAGTCGTGGTAACTGCAGGAGAAAAGAACAATATTCAGGAGTCAAATTCCATGCGGGAAAAGCGAATCACATTAACATGTCAAACTCGGGGAGTTCTACTTCCCTTACTACGATACTTTGCCTGATAAAAAAAGCTAACAGACTATCTTGTATATGTAGCTAGTCTTTTGTGAGGAGAAAAAGGGCATCCTGCATGCAATGCCTTTGAAGTTCAGATGTTTGAGATTAACAGCGATAACACTATTGAAATCACATCAGTGACAAACAGTCCAGAAGATATAGACATTTCAAACATAAATCAGCGAGTAATTGCAGTCACACTAGCGCAAGTCTCCAGGGTGACATCGTGGCCCATTACGGCTGACAGACTCCCATTGTTTTCAGTGTAGCCAGGATTTCCGTTTCAATCTTTCGCTCAAGGCCACAAAAGCCCACAGCTTTTCGGCTTCTAGCTTTAAACGTTCTTTAAGCGCATTTTTAGCCTGCTGTCTCTAAGTTATGTACTCACCCACTTCACAAGAATGGGCCCAATCTGCTCCACGGTTCCATCTGGTTTTGTTGCTTCTCCTAAACTTGCCAACAAGTCTGGAATTGAAACACGAGAATAGAAATTGCATCAATGCCCTAGTAAGCTGTTCTAATGTGAGAAAGCATAAAGTTTAACTCTTAGTCAGCACATTATGTGAAAATGATCCAGTTGCTCTTACCTTCATGCAGAGGAATATAAGAATCCAAGTCCCCAAATATGTGGGTGAGTTCCTCCTCGGACATGATAGAGAGTTTCAGCATGGGATCATGATACGCCTGTGAAAGAACGTCAGTATTAAAATACATTAAAATCTCCCAAACCCAAAAGCTGACAATTTAAATATGAGGGGATATATCGTGTGCAGGACAGATATGAAGTGAAGCCAACAGAAACAGTAACACCGACTTCGATTGCTAAAAGATTCTCTGTATGAAGGTATCAAGGCCTTCAAATGAAAAGGACTTTGCTGTCTGAACTGTTCTCATCTGGGAGAGGGATTCCCCAATTAGCTCTGCAGAACTGAAAAGTGCAATCCTTTTTTGGCTGGGTTTCTTGCAATCAAACCAGTACCGTAGGACTGCTCACGTCAACTTTCCAGGCCAGCTTTCAAACTGTGGATTCTGGGCCTGATAAAGCTGATATGTAATGTTTGCAGGTGCAATGAAACTTCATTATTATCTGCAATATGATTACTGACTGCAGAAAAAAACCCCACTCACCTTTCTGGCAAGCTTCAGGTCTTCAATTAGGTCCTGCTCTCCCCTGGACATTTCATATATTGCCTGTGAGGAAAGGGATAAAGCATTGAGAGTAATTTTTAATCCCAGTCTTCCTCTCAAAGAGCCTTTCAGCTCACATAATGTACATCCTGTCTCTGCAGCTTGAATAGGCGGTTTTGCCATCTGAATCACTGTATGCCACCTGGGCATGGCAACCTCAAGTAAATCTGCCGGCTTTCCCAACTCCGAGAAAGCAACATTACTTACAACTGTGTGAAAGCTCTGACGCTCACGCACAAGCCAAATTAAATACTAGCGCCTTTTAAATCACTAGTTTTACACAGGCAAGTACGAAAAAAAACAAAACCCAGAAAACCACAGAGGTCAAATCCCAGGCGTCTTTAGTCAGCTTCTGTGTTGTCACTAGAAGATTTGTCTAAGAACTACAGGAAAAAGGCAAGCCAAGGCCTTGCTATTTGGCTTTCAACCAATTGTCAAGAGCTTTAAGGGAAAGACAGCTGGCTTTACAGGGAACCTGACTTTGGGTCTGCTGCAAAGCAACCAGCGTGGCTGGGTCTCAAATTTCAGAAATGCTGAGCACCCCCATGGAAAGAGTTTGGCATCTCTGAAGAGTCAAACTGGGGAGACGAACTCCCTAGTGACTCAAGAGAGAGAAGCCTACCCTTTCCCATGCCTAATACAGAAATAAATCTAGCGGTTTAGAAGTGAAGGTGCACAGAAAGATACAGTCACCCACAGACGCTCATTACTCTTTTACTTGCCAAGGAAACAGCCCAAGCCAAGGCCTCGGCCGCCTTTCTCGGTCCTGCTGTTTAACGGACAGCCTACCTCCTGGCGCTTAATTTCTTTGGTGCTCAGGGACTCTTTCATGTTGACATCTAACATCTCAGACCAAAGTACGCTGTTTCTTCTTTTAGGAGGAGTAGGAGCAGCAGATCTGCTACATGACTTCTGGGGACAGCCAGGAGACTTGCTGTCACTGCGAAGGGCAAATGACTATAGGGATTTAAAAAAAAAAAAGTAAAAAAAAAAAATATGTAGAGCCACCATTTCAGAAGTACAGAAGTATTACAGTATTATCCATACCCCTCCCAATCCTTCATCCTCCTCTGTTGTACAGGGCAGGAAAACACACCCAGACACTTTTCCTCAGATAAAGGAACACTTTAATCAAGCTGCTGAGAAAGCCCTGAGAGTCCAGAGACTGGCAAGCTTTTCCATGCACCTCTCCCTGCACTGATCCAGCAGCAGTGCTTGGGAGGAGGATGGGCAGGTAAAACTTGCGTCTATTTCCAAAGTATGAGGAAGTAAATAAACAAGGATCATAATTCTACCTCTAACGGGGCTAATCAGGAGCCACTTAAACTTTGCTCTCGTGATTTGCAATGTTACTAAAACCCAGACACAGAAGCGCTCTTATCTGCATGTGTGGGGTATAGTGTTTCTTAGACAACACTTCTCTAACATTGAAAGATTGCTGAACAGCGGGTTCACATTTAAGCACGTGCTCCAATACACATATCTCAAGTACTGGAACAGTTTATCAACTAATTCTCCCTATCTGAATCAGTTTACTGTTTTTACTGCTTAAACCCTTGATAAGCTGGTTATCTAGCAAGCTATCCCTGAACTCTGGTTCACCCCCATGTCCCAAGCAAGCTTTCTGTCCTTGCATGAATCATACAGGAGATTTTCAAGAGATGCCCTGAAATCCCACTGCCTGTTTTACCCCCACACAGCCAGTATCTTCCCCATGTCTCTAGACTTCTAGGACTAGAAGGCTCTGCTTTTTACCTGTATTGTCTGCCCAAAGCGCCGAACTGCACCATTTCTTACAGGAGAGATCAAGTTCGCCAGGGATGTGACCCGTGCTAAAGGTCGAACCCGCTTATTGCTTGGCTCCTGTAAATAAAGCAGAGAACAAATTGCACTGGCTGTGACTCCCACTTCATTTCTCAAGCCGCCCAGGCAGGTTTAAAAAGCATGAACCCACTTAAGGAGTGGGAAACACAGCAAAGAGTGTGCTTTGAAGTAGCCATTCATCTTGAAAGGAAAGCAGAGGCTGTAAATATTTGTCTGAACTTTAAGGCTGCAATTAAACTGCAGAGACTTTGCCCAGTGTAAAAGAGGCAAGATAACATACACATCAGTCAGAATGCAAAATAGGGCTCGAACAGGGACTGTTATGGTTTGAACACAAATAGACTGAAGCATTCTCCTCCGCAAGGCAAGTGACTCTCATCTAAAGATGGAACTGTGATCTGCTTCTCCATTTTATCATGTTTTCCTTTGCAGAAAAAATGTGTTTTTCCATTTTAATTTTATTTTGGAGAGAAAAGTAGCAGTTGGAGCCCAGGACAGCCTCAGCAGCTATTCTAATAGCAAATGACCACATGCTGAACATTCCTGCAAGGGACACGCACACACGAAGTGGATAAAGTTTAAAACCTTCAGTTTACAAAGCTTCCTCCCCCTTCTGCTCTCCTCTACTCCCCGCAAGTCATCATAATTTTTCTTACACATTGTTTAGATTTGAAAGATAGAGCTTCTGCTTTTCTACACCACTAATCCCTGCCGGGAGCCCACAGCATTTTCAATTCTGTCCTGAGCGAAATGCTGCCAAGAAAGAGGAAACGCCCCATGGCAACCTCCTGCTGCTTAAGCTCAGATCAGTTTTTAAAATCATGCTGGCAACCCAACATATTTTACATTAAAAATATTGTGTTGTAAGGACTGTAAAGGAAAGGTGTGCACAATGGGACGCCAGGAAGAGATGGACTCAGAGCTTAAGGCTAGGAGAAAGGCTAGATGAGGTGCCCTTAAACATCTGGCAGATGGTTGGACATGACTCATCATCACAAGGAACTTTCTTAGCATGAAGTTCAGATGAGTTGATGGAAGCAGCCTCTTTTTTGTGTCCCTCTCAGTTGAAATTTTACCAAAGCTTTACTAGGCGTTTTTGGTTAATTACAGTTGAGTCCCTCCTCTTACGTTTCAAAAGGCTAACAGGCAAAGACTGAGAAGACTGCTTAGGACAAGCTTTCCGCTGTCTCTATTTCCAGTTTGAGATTGCAAGATAAGGTGCCCAAACTCTTCGCTTCTGTGTAGCAACAGAAGTGACAAATGCTGAAAACAAAAAAAGGGAATAGGAACACACAGAGCTGGATTCCAGTCATGAGGCTGAGGAAGCATAAAAGCTACGTATGTAAGATCTGATTTCAGCAACATGACCCGAGGAGTGGCCCGTCTGCCTGCCTACACGCAGTGTTAAGCAACAGAGGAGGTTAGCTCACACTGAATTAAGCCTTCGAAGTTGCAGGGGGGAAACATGAAAAGAAACAATTTATGAGTGATGCAGGACAGAGAGACATCTTGGCAAGGCACAAAGTGCGTTCAAAGCTGTGCTTGAAACATTTGGGTAATCTCAGAACTATGAGGGTACTATAGAAATGGGGAAAAGCTCTAAGAGAGCACCCTCAACCCTGGGACCCTGACCCTCAGCTGGGTTTACGCGCAGCACTGGGAACACTGCAGTCACTTCTTCCCTTTGCCAACCATGAGCCACTGCACTCAAGACAGAGTCAGTCAGGAAAAGGATTATGTAGAAGGCTGCAAAGTTAGGCTGGGCTCAAAAGAAGACAAGGAAACTTTAATCAATTACAGACATTTCTGAGTGGAGGAAAAGGACAGGTAATTTACTTGTAGAAAACCATGTACCAGTGTACTAGAATAAAGGGACGCAAGCCAAGAGAAGCCAAGACACCGCAGGAATGTAAGCAGAAAATATACAGACATAAGCCACACACAGCTCTGTCAAGGCCAGCGATATAAATAGCATGGAAAAGAAAAACGTGACACTGAAAATTAATAGCAAGAAACCCCAGTGCTTTAGGACGCTTGTACAGTCTTTCGCAGCTCGCTGTTAAAGGGTCAACTCCGCAGCCTTTCCCCATACGAGATACAATGACACACTATCTGCGCTAAGGGACATGTGTGAATGCCTTCCCAGCGCATCTGTGCTAGGCTGAAGCGACACATGCATATGCACAAGGTCTGGC